CCGGCTGGGCTTGAACCACGACAAACAGTCACCTAATCTACTCATCTAGAGAATACTAATTAATCTGAAAAGATGATGCATTCCACATAAATGAGCTGGCAACAACTGAAGGTGAATGTCAGATAACTCCCTATCTCAAAACCCTCCAGACTTTGCTTGTAGACACAGCAGTCACCATACCCATCATAAGCAGTTCACAGTTTTAGATACAAATCATCCAACTGCTTTTTCAGACTGTCCTAAGTAAGACGATATTTTAAAAGACGGAGAAACTAGTTTCACCTTAAGCCCTTGCTTGAGAGGTCCATGACAGCACTTGCTCAAAGAAGAAGGGATAGAAGACAGGCCAGACCTCTCCACTTCTGACTCAGGGGTACACCAAAGCAGAAACCTTTTGTGACTACGCTCACATGAATTAGCCTTTTCCACATGCTAATGCTTGGGAACATAAACCTTACCCTGCCTTAGTACCTCGTAACTGACATCTCAGCTTAACTGACTCAAACTGTGAAACTGAGATTAGTGTCCAGTCAGTGCAGGAGCAGGATTACTTAACTGACTTCAGTTTACATTGCTTAGATCTGCTATTTGGTTTGTACCTCCTTCTAACACTGAATATGCAGATGTGTCTGTAAGATTATATACACGAGGCATTTTCATCTATATAGTATACATACAAAATTTATCCTTCATCAACACGCAAAAGATTTCCTTTAAAAGCAACTGATGTACTGGCACACACTGATACAAGATTGCTACATGAATGGAGTAAGCAGCCACAGATTCAAGATACAGTAACATCAAGAAGGTACTTACCTGCTTGGCTGCTGTAGAAGAAATTTCTTTCTTTTCTAGAAGGTTCAAAAGGTCAGCCAGGATAGAAGAACTGACTGGGCTAGGGAAAAAGGGGACAGAAGTTACTTCACAGAGTAAGGCTAAAGATCACACAGTTTAGCATGACAAGCTACTAGACACACTATATTCAGCTCTGGTATTGATAGCCTGATTATACCTTACCACTGCCATATTCCAAAGAAGGAAGACAGTGATTACTACTCTTAACTACATGGTCCTCTTCTCTGCAAGATCACTGGTTAAGTGCATTCAGCATGACAGTGCCAAGACCTACACAGTACTGTCTAGCACAATGAACTTTATAGGTAACTAATGCAGAAACAAGCAACGGAGTGAAACTACACTATCCATGGCACGTGAGGAAAGGATCACTTTTGTTTCACAGCTGTAGCAATCAAGAAGCCTGACCTTTCCTTTACTGTAAGGGAATGTTGGTTCAAGTAACTGAGCAGGTCATTTAGAATCCAGCCGATCACTTTCTTTGGCTTCATTTGGGTCTGTTTTACCACATTTTCAAAGAATTCTGTTAATCCGTCTTCATTCTGTTTAAGGAAAGTTATATGCAGCAAGAAGTTACCAGAGTGCAAACATCATTAACTATACAATTACATTTGGAGTATAAATACTCAGTCCTAAAGTAAACTTGGTTTTGTGAATCCACTACAAAGTCACAAGACTTTGGAGGAATTTTGTTAGTGTAACAGCAAACAAACTATATCATGCCTAGAACAGGTGCACACAGCTTACCTGCCCTCCTGCCTGTTTAATGGTGCTTCCAATAAATGAGAGTGGTCATTTTCCTCTTAACTCCTCCCTAAAATTAGCATCTGGGGAGAAGCTTTCTCATCTTCTCATGTGTTTTCAGTAAGCATAATGCTAGCAAATATAATGCTGCCAATCTAACAGGCTGTCACGCTACCTTTTACCAAGAAGAGACTTTTCCTGAAACTGTCTACAGACATTTCGCTCAATCTTGCAAACCCTTCTATTTATTTTGGATCGAAGGAATAAGTTTCGCTTGCATTCACCTTTCAGTGATATGGAAAGGTCATAATGTCAGAAGCAGAGTTGTATTTTTCTTTTTCTTTTTTTTTTCCTCTCCAGAGAAGCTATGTAGGCTTTTCCACAGCACCCTAAACGCTCAGAAGATATGACAGTCGGGGATTCAATTTATAGCCTAAGTGAAATCTGAGAGTGTTTTTAGAAGAACAGATACTGCACAGTCTGTTGAATGCTGTGGTGTTTGTCATCAAGGCAGTGATGGATCTCTTAACTGTAGCACGGAACTCATTAGGTCTGCTGAAGGTTGAAGAGATAGTAAGTGGCAGCTCCTACCTTTTCAAGGAGGAATCCACACCCAGCGTGCCACTGAACTGCTGCAGTGTGTGGCATAAACACACAGGGGGACAAGCCAGCTCTCAGAAGTTGAGAGGTAACAGTTCAGAGACAGCCAATGAGCTATTCTAAGTATACTGTCATTGCAGCAAAAACATTTCCCAGGCACATACTGACTGCAGGCAGATCTCTGAACAGTTCTTACCAAAGAGTTTAGGTACACACTAAACCAAAGCCTGACTTTTCCCCTCGAACACCTCCCCTACCAAAACAGTCTCATTTGCCCTGGGTTTCAAAGACAATTTATCACCACTGCAATACAGAGTTTTACTTTCCTCCTCAAAACTTTCACAACACAAACTTCCAACAGCTCTAGATAGCACATTTTTCATTGGTGATGACGTATGGCTTTTGAGAAGACTGCAGACTACTGCCCTCTGTTCTGTGAAACAGAACAAAACGTGCTTAGAGTAATGGTTGATGTGCTGTAAAGCTGGTGTGACAAAAATCAGACCCCTCCACTTTACCTTGAGACCATGAGCAAAGAAACCAAGTTCTGAGCCTAGGAAGGCCACTGAGGTCTTTTGCGAACCAAGATAAACCTTGTACCTCCTCCTCGTTATCCATCTAATACGCACAGACACAATTCCCCTATTTTCCAATGTTCTTATAAATTTAACTAGCAGTTACTTTGTAACCAAATTATGTGAAATCTAAAGCTAAATAGACTAGAGGAACAAATCTGGCTTAAAAAAAGACAGATACTGTACCAAAGTACAGTAAACTCGATTAAAAACTCTGAGTGTGTTAAGTGGAATAGCTAAAATGATGCATTACTAAGTACTGTACTCTTTCTAATTCACCTCAGGATTCAACAGCGCAAACACACAATGATTATTTAAACAGTGGGTTCCCTTCCACAAAAACACCTGTCCAATTTATGTAGGAAAATAAGCAAATATAAATGCTGGTTTCTTTACACGTGCTGCAGAAGGTTTTACAAACACTCCAGGCAGAGCAGGTCTAGCTACAACATTGAAATGCACGCAAAAACAGTGTCTGCAGCTGCCACACTGCAGGCTACGCAACTCAGACACAGCATGTCCACACTTCCATCATATGTAGGCTGGAGAGCCTATCTCTAGCTGTGGGCAAAGATCTCTGGATACGAACAGCCTGGCTGGAGCTACGGCTCTGACCCTGCTGCAAGACCTTCTCAAGTCAAGGACAACATATCCAGCATTCACATTTTAATCACATGATTTCCAGACAGCAAGAGCAAAAAAGCCCAGAAATACCCAGACTTACATATGCTACCAGGTACTGAACTCCATACTCACTTCTTGGGCACATAAAAACATATCCCCCAAAAAATTCCTTTGCATTTTAGTTTGGTTTTTTTTTAAGTGACTGTCATTTTCTGTAGCCAAAAAGTAGGAAAACCCCAATTCTTGACTGAAATGAGTAAGGTGGGATATAAAAACACCAAAATGACTGACAGAAATGAAACATTTTCCTTATTTTCTTGTCATAGTAGAAAAAAAAAATGCAGGCGTAACTTGATTACCTTCCATTTCTACATACTGCACTACTCAATCTTGATTTTAATTTGTTCTGCATTTTGGTTAACTTCCTTCATGCCAAACTGACTCCAACTACCAACACCCCCTCCATCCCTTGTGACAAATCTGAACTGTAAACCACTGCACGCTCCAATATGGTGGTTTACATGAATGCTAAACTGACTGTTCTCCCTTAGTTCTGAGTAATATATTTTAATCTTCAGAGAAGGAAAACCAGAATTCTGGAATCACAGCACTGTGTTTGTGATCCAGGCCCACTTGGTGCTCCCATTACACACCAAATAGGCTGTAACTTTCTCAATTAGAGTCTCACTGGCATGAAACTTGACATATCAATATTTCAACCAGATGCAAATTTCTTGTTTAGACATGGTTTGAAATGATCATTTAACAGTAGTGAGATGTCAAAAAACTGCTGGTGGAGTGATTTCAGATGCTTTTAAACAAGTTTAAAGCAATACATTATCTTACAGGATACCACAGGTACAATCTTTAGGGGCACTGGATCTGCAATTCAAACTTAGCTTTTAAACACCAAAAACGTTTACCAAAGAACTGAAGAAGAAAACTACACCAATGTTCACAAATGAAATGTCATTTTCTGCCTTCTTCTTCCCATTTTCACCATCGCAGTTCCCACAATAACCAACTGTGAGATAACAACTGTTGCAAAAATGTGCAAGATTGCTGGGGGAAAAAGCCCAGAAAATCTAGCCTAATAAAGCAGACAAGCGGAGAAATCAAAGTTCAAACTTTTTCCTACAGGTTCTTGTAAGTTCTTTAAGTTCTAAAAATAAGCTTAAATTCACCTGCATGCCAACATGTATGAGGACAGCATGTCATTAACAAAATGGTCAAAACCAACTTTTACAGCATCTCACTTTTGGCTGTTCGAAGGATTCACCGACATAACTGTTCCACCACAGCAGGAAGCCAAAGCTCAAGTGGAGCTCAGGTTCAAGTGCAGTGGCTCAAGCTCAAGCCACTTTTATCTGAGTAAGCAGAGGAACAGTTAAATGCATGGGAAGACCTGGAATTCAAATGAGAAAGGAATTCACATTCAAATCAGACTGGTTTTTTTCTAATGCTCTACTGTGACAACTGATCCATTTTTTGGTTGGACCTCCCCAGACTTCAGCAGGCGTTTTGAAAACAAAAGATAGACATTCATGTCTATGCCAATACATCTTATTTTTTTGACTCAATAGGAAGCAAGACGAAAATACTATAATACCATCACTGGCAAAGTTGTCCAAGATCTTCCTTGACTGAAGTTATTTGCCAGCCTACTGGTTTACACAGCAAAGTAGGAACTGCATGCAGAAATTGAGTACTCAAACACTCTGGAGACTACATGGCTCAAAGAATTGTTTCTTTACAAATAAGAAATCAGAATCAGAAGCTTCATTTATTTCCACAATTTATACAAAACTGTCAGAATAACAGCAGTTTACACTTAAGAAATTTCTGCCATAAAGATATGAATAGGTAATGCTCCCCTCCCATTTCAGTACATTTTGTACTGCAAAGCAGGAGGTCTCAGATTCTCAATACTGCAGTATATACAGGCAGCTACTGTATATGAGAATAAACCTCATGAAGCAAGCTCAGAAACTAACTTGCATGCTGAAGTATGGTATTGTTTCATTATAACTTTGACATGTAATTTTTTCCTCTAACAAGTTGGCACAGCACAGAGATTTTATATTTTAAGAGTCATCCCTCTATCACTGCCATTTATTTAATGAGCACTCCTGGGCGCTCTAACCTGAAAGAACACTCATTAGATTTGTGCATCTGGCCCTATCAGCAATCTCCTGCAACTTCTGATGTAAGCTTAACACAGCACCAGATATACCGTTTTCAGATGAATTAAGGTTAAGTAGTCTCCCAGTGAACAGGCAAGCAACTTTTATGGAAAGTATACATGCTGACATTCTAATGCACAATAAAAGAAGACCCACAATAAAGAACGTGTTCACTTCATGCATTCAAATGGATGCATTATCCTACTACAAGCTGAATCCCAACTTTCAGCTTGGAGCTCATTAATTGTCTTACGTGTTGCAAAAAGGAAAAAAAAGTTAAGAAGAACAAGTGAAGGCAATAGTGGATTTCAGAGAACAGCTGGAAAGAAACGGCAGTTGATGAGGCAAATATATAGGTGTAGGTGACAGAGACAACAGAAACCACGCAGCAGAAGTCATCAATTTAAAACAAAATTGAAATGGGCCAAGAAGTGTGTTGATGCCAAGGGAAAGGAGTGGGTGTACTGGGTCTGGCTGGGACAGAGTTTATTTTCTGAAGAGGGTGCTGTGTTTCGGATTTATGACTAAAGCAGTGCTAACAACACACTGGTGTTTTGGCTATTGCTAAGCAGTACTTGCTCTTTCTCTCACTCTGCACCCCACAGGGTGCAGGTGGGCACAAAGCGGGGAGGGGACACAACCTGAACAGCTAACTCAAACTGACCAAGGGTATATTCCATTCCATGTAATGCCCTGCTCAACCAGGAAAACTAAGGGAAAGGGACTTTGGGGGAGGTAGTCACTGTCATGGGTAGGAGACTGGCATCACTCTACTTGTGAAGGCAGTGAGTGATGGCATTCACATCACTTTCAGGTTTTTCCCTTCCTCTTCCCTTCATTCATTGAAATGTCTTTATCTCAAACTACAAGTCCTCTTGCTTTTGCTCTTTCTATTCTCTTCCCTGTCCCACCAGCAGGGAAATGAGCAAGCAGCTGTGGTGCTTAGGAGCTGGCCAGGATCAACCCACCACAGAGAGGGAGAAGGAAAAAAAAACAGTCAGAAAAAAAGATTCAGGACCCACCTGCCCTTCAGAGCTCTGTTCATCTTAATACGTGAGAAATATGTTGATGAAAAAAATGCATGCATGGACAGGAGTACTGGCTGCAAAATCACATTTTGAAATAGAAAGGTAAGTACTACTGACACCTCTCAATGCTACCTCTGCAGCCTCACAACTTTAAAAGACTTATGACTCACCTACCCACCAAACAGTAGATTATCTGCAACTCACTAAAATGGCACACAACAACAGAAGCAGTTTTCCTAGAAGCTTTCTTCAAAAGACAGAATCATTTTTTTTTCTGTAGAATCAGCTTCTGTACAAGTGTATTAAATTACAGACACACAAAGGAGGGATATTAGGTAGTTATGTGGACTGCTCTCCCCACATATATAGTCAAAGGAAAGGAACTCCTCCAGAGGACAATTTAAAGTACTTACAGTTCTGCTCTGAATCTTACTGTAAAGAAGTCCTTCTCCTGCATCCACTAATCACAGAGGTAACCAAAGGAGGACACTGCCGTAGCTTAGCTGGCTATATGAAATGTCTAATCTTGAGTGAGTATACTGAACTCCCCACAAGAGCTATCACTGGCAGAGATGACCCAGTTTGTATTTAAGAAGCTCAAAGTTCTTTAGAATAATTTTGGAAGTTATGACATTTTGCTGTCACTTCCTTATTTTAATCCATATTTGCCACATTCTTTTCTTTCTCATCCCCATTTCTAAACCTATCCCCAGTAAACTGCACTGTGAGGTTGATGTCGATGTTGTACAGCCACATTGTGTATTTACCTAAGAATAAGTCTGTTTTTTTTCCAAAACAATGTGTAAGCTAGATCAACAGGCACATGAGGCTGAAAGACTGAAACACTGGGTTTTGCTTCTGTAGTCAGGAAAACACATCTACCAATTTGTTAAAATACTGACAAGGTGCCCAGCTTTGCTCCACACCCAAAGACAAGAGGAGCACACACTTGCA